AGAAATGTCAAGCGTGCTGTAAACAAGTCCTCGGTACGTCACATGCTTTAGAAACTGCATGAGAAAGACTGGAAAGGAAGCTATTCTTTGAGGGTAGTCAGCTTCAAAATAGCTTGATTTTAAGTGCAAGCAACAGATTATAGCCAATAAAGACAGGGATGTGGTCATCAAAAGCATTATAATATTATTTTCCCACCACTGACACAGGCACACTGAGATTTCCTGTTGTGTCTAAAAGCAACAATGTGTTGGCAGTTCCTAAACTACTACCTGTACAATGTGCACGATGCCTGTACTTAAAACGCATCTTTGTGTGTTATAAATCACACGTGTATGAGTATGTTTTGCACTAACAGTATTTGCTGAATGAGCTCACAGTTATCTTCAAGAAGGAATAATTTAGTCCAAAAAACTGGTACAGTGTGAATCTGAGTAGGTGAAGGAAATGTTAATTTTTGCCTTGGCATTGGTGTTGGATGTCATTATTATTATTTTTCTAATCACTAAAATGTACTTTTCCTCTGTTTGCAAAGGCTTCTGTACCTACAACTAAACCTAATGATACCAGTTCCTGTACCAAATGTGACTAATGTTTTATGTAATGGGAGGTAGGAATACTGCAATGGCTTTTAGAGAGGGCGTGGCTAAATTGAGTCAGGCCCTGATGGTGGGTATTTAAACATTCTGTAATCCGTGAGTTCTCTGACTTCTTCATTCACTGGGACGATTTGGAAAAATCTCCTGTCTCAAGCAACAGCTATACACCTTTCTTTACACCATGGAGAAATGCACTAGTTTTAGTCAGAATCTATGCAATATAGTTTGCAAATCAGTGGTATGTTCATATAGGTATCATGGAATTCTGACTCTTCTAGGGGGGACAAAAAGGTATTTTGGTAACAGATCTATCTAGAATTAGGCAATAATAACTATTTAAGGTATTAGTTCTGAGGATTTCTGAAAAACAGAAATGTCTGATTAAATTAAAAGCGCTCATCACCTTTTAACACCAGACCCATTATCATGATGTTGTAAGCAGAAGCCCGTGGAGCTCAGATGAAAGAAGTTATTGTGTTTCTGGAGCAGGATAAAGGCAGTTCCATGACCATCCCCTTTCTCTCTCCCCAATTTTGTACTGCTTTACCAATCATTTGTTTTCTGTAGTGAAGATGCACAGTATCATCACGATGAAGCACAATATGTGATCCAGTCTAATTTCATATGAACAGTCTGCCCTACACTTGGCTTTATTATTCACAATTGTTAAATATTATGCATAAATGACATAACATATGCTTCCCACTTCCAATTTATCTTCCATAGGTTCTGTTTTCCAGGGAAACAATAAAAGAAAGAGATTCATTCTAGCATTCTTCCAACCATTACAAACATGGGAGCAATAATGCATGGTGCACACGTAGCCTGGTAATCGTTAGGTGCTAGCCATTCCCTTCTGTTCTCAATCCACAAATCTGGTAATGTGACATTTCTCAGTGTGGGAGTATGAATCTTCAGCTCAAGCTGTTGAGACACCTCCTTACAGTATCTAGTAGTTGCATGGAGGCAGTGTATTTTAGATGTGCCTCAAATCCTCAGGATGGGCTTCTCTTCTGAACTCCAGAAAACTGAAACCCCCTGAACCAAAGTTTTTACAAATGCCCTCCCTGGCATGCAGATTAAGGCACAGATCCATCCTAAATCTCCAGCTGGAAGGTGTGGAGTCCATTCTCAGCTGATATAAGTTGACCCTGCAGCACTAAAGCTAGAGAAGCCAGGGGTGATTCACACCAGCTCAGGAAATGGCCTGAAATCATGGTAACAGTCACCAGAAACTGCTTTTTAAAAAGCTATTCTCTATCATGGTGGAACGTGTAAGGTGAAGTACTAAAAGCTTTCATGTTTAGAATTTCTTTGACAAGATATTTTGCTGAGGACTAAGATGACTGTTACTCCAGAAATGAACATTAAACCATACAATTCTGGAGCTATCAGTTTAACATCTGTAAAGAGAAAAATCATAGTGCGGCTCAGGCAATACTTTCAGAAGTGCAGTTTGGTCAATGAAAGACCATATAGATTATACAGAGTGAAAAGTGTGTTTTCACCAATGTATGAGGAGTCTGTGAGTGTTAACTTCAGTGCAGACAAGCAAAAAGACAAGATATAAAAAAAGTATTTGATTAAGCAGCTTACTGAATTTCGGCCAATGAGGTACAGAAAAAACGTGGGTACCTTTGTGGTACAGAAAGAACTGTGTTTAAAATGGCTTGAGGAAGGGAGATGTTATCTTAAATAAAGAACGTTTCTAACTAAGAAAATCTTAAACACCAATTAAATTGTCACTGAACTGACTTTCGAGTTTGGTCTGGTTTTCCTAAGATTATATTATCACGGACTAAAGTATGATTTGGATTATCTGCCTGTGCAAATGAGGAAGAAGGATAAAACCCAACCAAATAAAATCTTTCCTTGAAAATCTGCAATGGCTGTCAGGAGATTTGGCTTGCGCACACAGGAGTAGGAGAATGTACATGCTTACAGGGTTTAAAGAGCTGGTGGAGAAGGAACAATCACACCTTTGGCTTTAATATACCTGCCTTCTGGGACTCCCCCAACCTCTGTGTTGTCCAGAGTGGCTCAGACATAGAAAGATAGGAGTGAAAGATAAATTATTTGCTTCAGAACTTGCGAGGAAGCAGTGGTAGAATTTTGACTTTGAGGGGTGTTTCGGCATCAAATCTGCCAGGGTTGGGTCTGACTGAAGAGGCTCACATAAAAATCTCTTTCCTTAGGACTGTATCCTAGGACCATCGTACACACTCCCAAAAGCAACAGCAAAGTCTGCCTGAGAGCTTCCCTCTGATCCAGCTCTGTTCAGCTCACTGAAATTTCATGGCTTTGGATTCCCTTTCAATGTTCCTAAATGCAAGTCTAAGCACCTGAATTTCTGAGTCTTCCCTTTCCTGGCCCACTGTTTTTGAGTGTTTTGCCCAGAGTTATTGCCTCTGTTTCCTGTCCTCCCCCTACCCCAATCCTCCTTGGCCACAGTCTGGTGTTCAGTGTCAATTATTTTAATTTACTGAACACATCAAACAAGCTCCAGTTTCCCTTGGTACTTCATCTTCCTTGAGAGAATTACACCTCCAATCTCTGCTAAATTACTGAGGCAAACAATGATTTCAATTAAGAAAATTATAGCAAATGATCCTGATGCTGTCAATAACATCGTTTGCTACTTCTCAGAGGTTGCACTGTTTCACTCCATGACCTCTTGTTCCATGTACTTGAAAAAACATCATTCTACTACTTATGATCACTGTCAATCTTCCATTCATTATCTACTTTTTGGTTTTCTTTCTAAAAAAAAAAAGAAGATATTTTTAAAACTACAGATGAGTTGTCTGAAGAAAGAAATTGTGAGCAGACTAAAATCATGGGCAGGGTTATACATGGCCTGGTAGGTATGTATTGACACATACCAAGAATTAACACATGCAATGTGTGTGAAGGACTGCAGGCATTCAGTTATTTTTGCTTTCAGTGGAACAGTTTTGTGGTATGCTGACATTTGAGATCCCTATAAAACATTTGGAATCTTAAGTTAATATAAATTAAAGCTTTACAGCATTTTTACTTACATAATTGCATTTTCGATACTACCCACCATACATTTCTGGGTTATTGTAATGTTACGTGGTTGTGGCACATTTCTCCCTGCCAGGATTAAAACAGCAGAAAGAAAAAAGCAAAATTGCAGCAGAAGGAAAGTAACTGTAAAAGGTGGTCATCCCTCAGTAGAACAAAAGGCACTGCTTTGTGGTGTTATGCTGAACAGAATTGTCATCAACAAGTTTAGTTGTGTATAACAGAAGCTTTCAGGTTTCAGGACACAACTGTGAACCTTAGGTCTGTCTCATGTTTTTGGGAGATGGCAGGGAGGGGCAGACAACTCAAGCATTTGTGTATGCAATTCTCCTCTGGCAAGAGGAGAACCAGGAAACAAACCTCTTCTGCCAAAATCTTGTATCCATATGTATCTGTGTTCTGTTAGGCTATTCTTTTGAATATTTTCACAGAACAGGGATGCTTTGCAGAGTCTGAAATACAGATTCACAAAAACTGGCATGATTCCCCCAAATATACAAAGGGATATAGAAATACAGATGACCCAACTGCACAACTTGTGCAATCCTTTTTCTAGTCAGTCTGTTTAATTCAATCCAATATATTTCCGTGAAGCAAAGCCACTATTATGGTGAACAATTTCCTAATACTGCAGGGATATTTAAATGGACTCATCTTTTTTAAATGGTGGCTTCACCATCTGTTCTGTCCTTTCATTACAAATAGAGGGAACCTAACTCGCTGCATCAGCATGTAAAGCTTAGCATCCAAATGATTTAGATGTACGTGTGTGCTCTTTATGCACCTGGTATGTTTTCTCACATACCAAACACAAATCAGTGGGAAGACCTGTCTCTTGTAACCAAATAAATTCTCTGATCTAGTGCCTTTATTCCTTTCTCATGGCAGCAGAAATTGATGGCCAGTAGTTTGCATTTTATTAGCACAATTATGACCCATTTGCTGTCCTGCAGGAGTTATATCTTTATTGGGCTGACATTTTGTGCTACCATTTACCTCTCTACAGAAAATGAGCCTTGATTCCTATCCTTTCCCTCTTGCTGGGCCCACATACGCTTCATCAGGGACAGAAATCTTGTAGGAGATGTGCTGAGGATGAGTCAGGCTGCTGAAAAGCTCTGTCCTTCCCCAAAGGATGCCATACAATCTCTCTGAACACTATTTAGAGAAGGAACATATTCTCCTCAGACACTTCAAAACGCATCACACTGCATTATTTTTACTGTTTTAAATGACAAATTTTGCAGTAGATTAGGAAGGGAAGAGCAAGTTACCATATCTCATACTCTCTAAACCAGGAGACTGATTGCAGGCTTGATGCAAATGGTAATTCAAAGAAATCCCACAGGACCTACCTGTGTTGTAGCCCCTCCCAAGTGCTGGCCAGGGCCGATGATTCTTCCAAAGGTTGCCCAAATACCAATCACTCTGGTTCTCCACCAAGCCAAGAACCTGCTGCCCTGGAAATGAGCAAATTGCAAAAAGATCGTAAGACAAGACAGTCAATCAATGGAAAACAAACACAAAATCTGGAGAGGGACAGCCAGTGGAAAGAGAAGACAGAAGTTTGGGTGCTGCCTTCCTTTCATGCATTCCAAAGGTGCCTGCTTATGTAAGAGATGGCAAGGCTGGCACAGCAAACTCAGCACGGCTCATTTCTTTCCTTCTCCCCTGGCTAGTCTGAGTAATTAAACACTGTGGGAACCTTTGTCATGCTGACAAAAATATATCACCCAGACAAATCTGAATGCTGCTTGATTTTGGAATACAATGATGGAGAATCCTCCTAGTGAGAAGTAAGTGCTGGTAAAATGATCATCTAATATGAAGATCTGTTCATACTCTGATGGAGATAATTGAAGAACAAAGCTCAGTATAACAAATTATTCTCTTCCCATGCTCTCCCCTCCCACGACTGGTTTCAGGGGTATTTTTTCAATCACAAAGGAAATCCCTTTTCCTCAGGAAAACATTGTATTCTAAGAGTTTACCTACACAAGGAACTTGCACTGTTTTAATTTAAGAGAGTGATTTAAAAGTCATTTAGGTAAGCCTGTGTGGAATGCTGCATAGAAATTATGATTTCAGTTTTAGATGGGCTTATTTTGGTTTAGCTTACATTGATTAGCAGCTGGCTTCAGCTAGAGTAAAACATGTTTTAAATCAAATGTGTCTAGAAGGTTTGCACTGCTTAAAAATCAACTGAAAAGTGAATGTTTGTATAGATAAGGACTTAATTATCTAGCTTGAAATGTGCTGTATAAAATGTAAATAAGAGAAGTGATTGAAATGATGCTCTGGTGACAGAGGATGGAAGGAAGGGAAAACTGCATTTGGATCTAGTCAGAGAAAGGCAAGGGAATGGGGTTTTGACAGAGAGACCAGCCCAGTGAGGGCACTGAGACTGGGATGGGAAATTATTTTGCAACCTTTTGAGAAAGCAATTAAGTATCATGTTCTGAAGGCACATTTTCAAATCCCAGCTATGCTCATCAGACTGGGTGTATCGTCACAGCAGTGCACTGAAAGCATTAAATGATCGCTGTATGTTGCTTGCAGCTGTATGACTAAAATTTCAGTATGGCCCAAGACAAGACTGGGCTGAAAGGCAAGACATAAAACCAGAAGTGATTAAGTCAATTTTATAACCAGCTACCAAAACATTAGGATAGGTCAGGTGATCGCAATACTCTCCTGCAGTACCTGTAATTGGAACTGTGGAATGTCAGTAACCCCCACATGCATCCCGAATGCTGTTTCAGAGAGGGAGAAGCAATGAGTGGCCAATGCACATTACAAATAAATCAGAACATTATGAAGGCATTCAAGGGAGTGAACAGAAATCATTCTAAAAATAACCTTGAGAGACTACCAATTCCACTACACACCACTGCTCAGGATCATCCTACTCTATCCTAATCACAACATGCCAGTCCTCAACAGACCTCATTTTCTAATCATGTCTCTCCTTTTCCATTATAAAATATATATATATATATAATTTTTCACATATACTCCATAACTCATTTTTTAAGAAGGTGGAAAATCTGGGGGTAAGCAGAAAGGATCATATGAAGGACTACCACACATTTACCACCCCACTGGTGCTACTGAAAACTGGTAATATTAACAGAGCAGATTGCACAAGAGAATGAAGGAAATGACAAGTTAGAGGCAGATGCATCCTAAATGACCGATGATTTGTTCATACAAATCAAATAACTCATTTTTTAAGAAGGTGGAAAATCTGGGGGTAAGCAGAAAGGATCATATGAAGGACTACCACACATTTACCACCCCACTGGTGCTACTGAAAACTGGTAATATTAACAGAGCAGATTGCACAAGAGAATGAAGGAAATGACAAGTTAGAGGCAGATGCATCCTAAATGACCGATGATTTGTTCATACAAATCAACTAGCATCTCTCAACCTGTGAGACACATGGAACACACTGGACAGCACATGAGGCCCTACAAGCCATATACTGTGAGGAAATACGAAGGGGATCTTAACTGGCTGAAACAAGTCTTAACCACAAAAGGCTGAAAGGCGCAATTTAAACAGCACTTGTTGATTCTGTGCCTGTTCTTTATAACCACTCCCTTACAGCTGAGGTGGAATGAATCAAAATAAAAAACTACCATGGCTAGTAGAGGATGAGAAAAAAATATAAAACAATAAAAAATGCAGGTGCAGCTGGGCTGGAATGGCTTGGCACAGCTGGTAGGAAGAGAGTGACCCTGCCCATATTCTAACAGCACATTTCACAACTCAGCAGTCCACACATCCTTCTCAGGACAGTACTGCTAACATCAAAAGAAATGTTAGAATTCCATTTGCAAGAAGCAGACACTGAACTTCTTTACCATGGAGCATCAATCTGCTTTCATTATGTTAGCCTCATGTATTTCCCAATGAGCCACAGAGTTCAGCCTTCAAACTGATGAATAATAATAAATGAACAACCCTTGCTGCTTGTTAATGGTTTTCCTTTCCCACTTACCAGTCCAAAATCTCAGTTCTGACAATGTACCCTTGAAATACTTATTTCTCAGTTATTATTTCTCATGCTAAGATAAACTGAAAAGGTTCAGGAAATTATGTTCACATGTATTTATTGTAGCTGTATTATTTCCTTCCCCTTTTTCCCTTTATTTTTGAAGACACGAAGACAAATCCTGCTCTCACCAGTACTCCCTAAGGTTTGATACAGGACATGGATGAAGGCAGAAATTAACATCATGTAAACTTTAGGGTCTGGATACATGGACTAAATAATGTGATTTACTGTGTATCAGCTGAGCTGGAATAACTGCCTGTACACGTCCTTCTAGCTTGTCACAAATACAGAGCAAAAGGTAACACACTTCAGTCTGCTATTGCAACAGCCTGGGAATGCACACGTGTTCATGTGCTGTCCAACGGTAGAGCATTATGCAACTCATCAGGCTGTTTTAAGTCTTGCTGGTGTCTCAAACCTTCTAGGCACATGTGATGGCTTGTCTCCAAAGCCACCTTGGAGAAAGTTAGGAAGACATGTTTTGTATCTTCTCTAGTTATACTTCTGCTTTCTCTAGGCTGGAATAGTGTGGTGCTCTGCCAGAGAAGAATATATTTTTATCACCCTTTACATTGTCGCTATGATCTTGACATAGAGCAGAAGTGATCAGGAAACCAGAACTTCAGATGCATAGCAAATATTGATGGTTCAAAAAATGTTTTAATTCTGAATCAGTATAGAAAAAAGAAATTCAGAAATGTTCTCTGGAAAAAATTCCCCAAATACTTTGATCTGAAGATTCAAAATAACCACATGTCAATGTACAGCCCTCCTGATTTTAAATTACATCAATGTGACATGTAATACAGATGCATAATATATACCATATATACCACACCATTCTATGCGTCTAAAACTTCACACAAAATAAAATCGTTTCACCCTTCCAATTCTGAACAACTAAAATCGTTTCACTCCAAACTTTCACTAGAATTTTGTTGTATTAATGAATCATAGTGAGAATATCGTTCCTGTGTATCTGAGCACTACCAGTTATTTAATTCAGTTATTTTTTGTCTAATGCGTTCTGAAGTTACAGAAAGGAAGCACTGGCCAGAGCAATGCATAGTGTCGAGCAGGCACAATGAACACCCTCCTTGCCCACAGTCCTCTGACGGTTCATCGGGCCCAACCTGTCCCTTTGCCACTCTTCGTGCCTTCCATGCAAGGTGCATGCAGTTCTGTGGACACCTTCTCCTGCTCCATTTCACCTCCAATCATACTGGAATCTGCATTCAGATTTTCTGAGGAGAAAGACTAGAGTTCCTTGCCACCATGGCCTTTTGTAAAAGGCAAGCATGGAAGGGTTATGTGAGTTATTCTTCTGGCAGATGAGAACACTGGCTACCATAATGAATTGAATTGTTCAGCATTCTGAGCTGCCTGTTTCTTCTTCCTAAGAGTTATTATAATAAAATACTCTCACTACCAGCAAAAGCTCTGTCATTGTTTTCTGTTCTGGCCCTGCAGTTATGACTAAGTGCACTCCTCTCACTCTCTGTTACTCCAGGCACAAGGTAGCTTATGAAAATGAAGCTGTCTTTCTTACTTACACATACATCACCACTAACAGCCAGACAAGAGAAAACAAGGCTATGATTCTGGCATGACCACGGTGAAAAATTACCGAGCAGGCAGAATTACAGCTGTATTGTCGGGAATGGGGCTGTGTGCTGCCTGGCTGCGGGACGAGACTTCTCCAGAAGGCAGCTGCACAGCTACAGTATTTTGCACACTACAGCTCCCTGATAGCTCCTGCCTGAATAAAGTGCTTCTCTCCTTGTGAAAGCTTAGTTGTTGCTGGGAGGAGGTTTCCATGGAAAAACAGATACTTCTGAGCCTGACAACTCAATGCCTTCGATTCCGTTTTCACTTCATAGATTCTCGGTGGCTAACAGAGGGGAAGGCATGATTCTCTAATTCAGGCATTGAAGGGGACTCCAGATCTCATCTCCTAGCTGATACTGAGTTCTTGGGTGACACTGGACAGATCACATGACAGCCTCTTGTTCAATTCTCCTTGAATAAAAATGGGGATAAAAATTAACTTTTTATGCCTCTCTCATTTTGCCTGCGTCACATATTGCAAGTATAAGTGCTCTGAGGTAGTAAGTGCGTGTTCGTGTGTACTGAAAGCATAACAGCAGCTGCATGTGGCCAGGCTGAAGCTCTATCCAGCACAGCATTGTGTCTCCATGCAGCAGGGATTAGCAGCTGTGCTGTAATCGAGCACAACAGGGCAGCTCTACACTAGTGCTTTGTAATAGTGGTCCTCTCGCTTCCAGTGACTTGTGGCACAGGACGCTTCTTTAGAAGTTCAAGCTTTTATTTACATTGAGTCTGATATCTGCTAGTTTCATTTGGTGCTCAGTACAATCTTGGTGCCTGTGAACAGTATTTTCCTACTCTGTCCTGATTTTTTCCCAGTTTT